CACAATGTGCGTCGAAATCCACCGCGGACTTCTGCAATTTTACGTTTCAAATTGTCTCGAAATGAGATTTATACAGAAAATCCCTGAGGACGTAATGATTGTGACCCACTTTATTTTTTTATCTCCCCAGAACGATGTAGATGGATAGGAGTTGCTTTTATCCACTCGTTGAGAAAAAGTACACCGACATTTTTACAATGAGTGGGTATGCAACCTTTATGTGGAGTGCAGACACAGAGAGAATAGAGGTGGAAAGATCATTTTAGTAGCGAAAAACCCTCAAAAGGAGAATTACACGAGTCAAAAAAATAAGCCCTCAACCCTCAGCTCTGGTTCCAGTGCTTTATGCTAGTGGAATAAAGCGTGAATTAATTATTTCATACTTTTAATTACATTTTTTTCTCGTTTATTGCTTCCAAATGGAAGCACTACAATCGTTAAAATTATTCGTGGGATTGAATCATTTTCCTTCCTCACTTGTAAGGATTGTAATTTGAATTCAATTAATTCAATGATGTGTCTCGAAAATATTTCAATGACATGATATCGAAATTTTGAATGATTGCAAATAACGCGGATTGGCAATTTATTTTTAAAAATAACTATGGAAGAGCAATTCCCAGTGGTTTTCACTATGAGACGATCATATTCTTTCCCCTTATTTCCAGGCACTCCAGATTTGGTGGCACTTTCGTTGTTCAAAATATGAAAGCGATTGGTGAGAATCAATTGATCTGTCACAAGCCGTTCGAGAAAATTGAAGCCCTGGAGTTCGCTCGTGACAAAGTAAGTGAAATAAATTTAATGGCTCCTCATAAAAATGATAAATCGAGTGGGTTTTACGTCTCACTTGCACCGATGAGACAGGAATAACGAGAGAAATAAGCTCCATTCAATTAGCACTTGGTTTTCCAGCGATAGCTTTCATTAGGACGTTGAAACAAGAAAGGGGTTGGAATACATATGGAAATACGTCTGCTAATTACGTATATTTCAGGATATAATTGCCCCACGGTCTTGCTTAACGCTTCCAACTACTCAAAACTGGGTTAGTGATTACTCACTTTATTCTTTTTCCCCTGGAAAGTGCACTCATTACGCTTTTATATCTCTCGTTTTCATTCAGTACCACCAGCTCCCTTTGAAAAATCCTTCTGGATTAAAAGCTGAATGGAGGAAAAAAATGTTTGAATAGTTTTACAAGAATTTTCGGGGATATTTCCGTCCGTCTCTCTACTCCATTGTCAAGTAGAATGTTTTCTAGTGAATAATGGAAAAGGATGCGTGAAAAAGATTCAGCTAGGTCTTGCAAAACATCACACTCGTGACAATGAATTATTCAACTTTGAATTTAATTCAATCGTGACGCAAGATTATTTTTCCGATGAAATTTCTGATTTTAGAAAACAGAAATCGATATTTCGGAAAATCAGAAATTAATTAATCCGAATTTCTACTGCGATATTCTTCTCCGGATTTTTTTTTGTAGGCAAATAATAAAAACGGTTGAATTAGTGAAAGGGATGGTCTATTGAAATTGTAATTTTCAATTGAATAAAAATCCGTAAATTTCCCTTTTAATAAGCGAAAAATAATTTGCGCCCCGAGAAAAATTTGGCGAAGAAAAAATGTCCCTGAGAAAAATAAAACGTACAACCTATAAATTCACTAACTCCAGGTAAAGCTGAAGAAACCCAAGAATAAAGTTCCCATCGAAGCAACTCCGGAGGAGCGAACATCTGCCCTCACTGTTCGTTTATTTCTCAAAGAATTCTGCGTGGAATTTTTAAACGGAGCTTACAACCCCGTAATGAGATACGCAAAGTCTTGCATTATCGGTGGAAGTCACTCAGCAATGGCTGATGCGAGCCATTATCTCTGGGCGATGCGTTTCTTCATGGAGTTTAATCGTCACTACAAATTCCAAGTCAAGCTTGTCAGGTATTAAAATATATTATTTATTATTAAATGATTAAAATTATGTATTTTCGAGGAAGAAAATAAATCCACTGGAAAATAAACTGTAATAGTGAAAGAGCGATGACAACAACCGATTTTTCTTTAATTCTGTTTACAGTGAGACCATTTCAACCGAGATGTTTTACTTTGTCCAACGTCAGATGGAGGAATACTACGAGTCAATGACTATGGACAAACAGAAGATTCCTCACTGGTCGAGACGTTTGCATCTAGCACTCAAGGCTTATCAGGTGAATATGACGGGAATTTTCCCAAGACATTTCCACAGTTTATAATTTGTTTCATGGGTTGTATATAAAACAAGGATAAATGAGTCTCTTTAACGTACATATAACGCTGAGTTTTCGCATTATTTTTTTTATGATCCTGTCGGGAATTCTCTCCTGCCGTTGTTTTATTACAGCCAGGGCTCAGAAAAAAAAACTAATTAATCCACCGTCAAATCCTCTTTGACGTTAATCATTCGAATTTTCGCCGCGAAATTCTTGCGCGTTATATTAACTTCTGTAAAATAAAACTGATCGAGTGCAGGTGAACATGACATCCAGTAATCATCATCAACATGATTTTCACCGGTAATTAACTATTGTATTAATGAGGTGTGCGGTTGTACGCTTTGCAATTCAACATGTACGTAATTTCAATGTGCAGCCCCGAGCATTAGCATTCGCTTGTCAGTCAATATCGCATGGTGAGGGAGATATAATATGATGGAAGATTTAATCAAAATAATGTAATCAGAAGTCAGTCAGCCATAGCTGACGGTGTGCACTGCTGGGTAATTGACAATCGATGGTAGTTACTATCACTCTGACTACTTTTCATTTTATCTCATGAAGTGAAATGTAGACGATTTGGCGAATGTCAATTCAGTTATCACTGGGTTATGCCATTCAAGAGATATTCTTTATTTATTGCCTTAAGCAACAAGCGAGGGATTAGAGATTCGATTGAAGAATATGGTTAATTTTTCAGGAGTTACTGCACACTATCCTGGCGATGGATAAAACGACAGACAGAGGTATACGGGATTCAAGCAAAGTCATTAAGAGTAACGTATTTTACGTTCCAGAATATCGGGAAACGATACTCTCCCAACTTCTGTGCTACGACGGACTTAAAATGTCACGGTTAGTATCACGCTTAACTCTCGCTTTTCCATCCTCCCCCTTTCTCTCTTGATCTCCTAATAACGTTTAACGATCATTGCCCAAGCCATCGTATTCCCAAGCAGTTTCCAGCTGTACACCCGCTCTACTTGTCTCTAATTTTCTCATATTCCCTCCAACATTTGAATATTGAACGTTTTATTTCCAATTTGTATGTGACTTCGATGTAAAATACGTTCTAACTTTTCAAGTGCTAATGAAACACATTTTAAATTCACATTTGGGGACTAAAGTTTCGATATTGCTGAGTTTCTTTTTATCGGTTGACTCTCGCTGCACCAGTCTGCGAATTTAATTATATAGATAAAGAAAAAGAACGAATTAGGACGATGGAAATTTACCGGGTTAATGAATAATTCACTAAATCTTATGTATATTCGAAATTCAAATTTGTTTCGAGTACGAAAATTCCGGGGAATACGGAATTGTTAATGAGGAAAATCAGCCATTCATGTCGCGGGGTGAAATTTTTTTTATGACGATGGTATCTCAAAAGTTGGACATTCGATACAAAAAAAATGGAGTTTACCCCTCGAAATGGAAAATTAAAAAAATGAAAAGTCTGGGAGCGAAACTTTTTGATGTATAATTCACTTTTTTATCACGTACATTTTTTTCCTCAACGATTCAAGGAAGAAGAGAAAAAATATTCGTACAGGTTCTGAAACAGAATCTCTTGGGAGAGGGGAATTATGAAATTCGATATGACAATTTTTTCATTCAGAGGAGAAATATTACACTATCTCCGTAAAATGAAATTATCGCGATGATTTTAGAGGGGAGATTTAATCTCCTAGATACCTAGACCCATGTCTGAACTTACAAAATCTCAGATTGTCAAGATTTCTCGACTCTTCCCTCCGATTTTCCTTGCCTGCCAAAGTTGATAACCAAAACTAGTTTACAACTTTTCGAAGCGTTATAACCAATCGTTCGGTGCTTCTCGAAGTTTTCCAGTCCCCAGAGCAATAACCTAATACTCCGAGTGTATGAGTAAAAGTAAAAAAAAAAAAAATGGTTAAGAAAATCGATATGAGCCATCAGCTTTTTCACCCGCTTTTTTCTTCCCCATTTTTTTTTATCAGAATGTCACTGTGACTGGCTCTTCCAACTCGCGTTGTTTGTCAGTAGTTGTGAAGGGGTGAGAAAACTGTTTACCAAAACTTTTATCTACTGCAGACATATTGACTCCAGCTCATACCAATTGTGAGCCACTACTAAAATTCCTCCCCTCAACCGTCACCATCAACTAACTTATTCTTCACCCCTCGTCTTCCTTCGATACCTTCGCGGCACTTCCACGAAATAAACAACTTTTATCGATGTCACTGAGTGGCTAACAAATTTATTCAATGGCTTTTTCATACGCTCCCGCGAAAACTTCAATTTTCAATATTGAACGCGAAGGACGATTGCGATGAATTCTTCATTGCACTCACATCAGTAAAAAAAAAAGGATATTCAACCATACGAGACATCACTAAATAAACATTCACCGTTTATCGTCGATTGCACATCATTGTTTGCTCAGTGACTTGTAAACCCACCCATAGACGCGGTCGAATGAATTTGTAATGAAGATGAAATGAGAAAAACCAAAGGGGTAATAAAATTTTCATTATTTTCAGAACTTATCTAGTTGACCTGGTTACAACAGCCCATATATTCCTAAAAATGCTCGAGCAATTCGTCTGCCAGACTCGAAGTTTGGTGGTGGCAAAGCCAAAGCGAAAGCCTCGAAGAAAACAAGCTAAAAAAGCAAGCAAAGAGTCAAGAAAACCACCGAAGAGCCTCGAGGATCGATGGGAAGAGACAGCACCAGAATTATCAGCTGTTATGCAAGACGGAATTATTCCGACTGTAGTTCCCTTTGATGCTACCCTGGACACTCCCATCGAAGAGCAAAAGTAAATTTTTCTACTTCTACATTGAACTAAAAAATGATCCATCTGTGCAGCTTCTCTAATGATCGACTTTCCGGTTCCTTTCAGGTCCGACGCTATGAAAAGAATTCAGAAGCTTCTCCGCAGGAAGGAGTTCGACCACGCGATAGGACTTTTACGAGCTGCTAGGTGAGCAAGTCCTTTATTATTATGTTTTTTTAATTATTAATCAATAATGAATACCAACAAATGGGCGCTAAGTGATTCTTTCAATACACTAACAAGCGGTACGCAAAAAGAAATTGCGCATGATCAAATCATTAATTATGAGCGTCCAATTAATTTTCCACATCAAACGATCAATTGCTCAGATCTCCCCCGAATTATCGAGACAACAAAAAACCCCTGAAAGATCCACTACCTTGAGGGTTAAATCTCGTGGAAGTTCTCTCGTTCTAACAAAACGTAACACGATCAAGAGGCTCGACAAGAGGGGATAGAAGTTGCTCTTCGATTCCCCTTCTGAAACTGAAAAAGCTTCTTTGCACACTTGTGCCTTTTTTCCATCACTCCCGTTTCCTTTATCCTTCACTTGCAAGCCTGTGCCATGCAAGTTATATCGTGCGCACCGAGAGGTGAGTCTCGTCCCTCGGTTGGAAAAAGAACTTGAATACTGGGCGGAAAGACGAGAGTAAAGAGTGGAAGGGCGTTGGCGTCATTGTTTCGACAAACAAAAGGCTCCTTGCCCCGGTAATGTGAGGGGCTAAAAAAAAAAATGAGAGAAAAAAAGGAGCGAGCAGAAGCTAGGGAGGATTTACTTTCCTACGCTCGATGAATTTTTTACCGTGACACGTCTATGCCTCTTCGTACCACCGAGAAATTTCATTTTCTTGTTTCCAACCCCTTCCAACTCACCCCCATCCCGTTCCCCGTCTCATGACTCGTTTTCGTTTAGAAGTTACAGAGACGTAAGAGCTTCGTTAAAACGCTTTTTGTCCCTGCTTCTTGCGCACTGTAGTCTTTTGGAGCTATTCTGTATTCACGTGATTGTTCATTCCTTTTACTTTATTATTTATTTCTTCGGTAATCCAACGCCGACTCTTTGAGTCGGAGTTGGTGCCAATTTTATACGGATTAATCCGACTTGTGTTTACATTTCTGGTATTCAGACGTTGACTTTTCTTTCCGAATGGAGCCGTTATAATTCTGAAATCCCAATCGTCAAGAGAATCCGTCAAATTAAATCATTTTTTCTCTCATATGTAATTATCGTTGGGTCTTAGTCATCGATATTAATATCAATGAATATAATCAATGAATTCATGTTCTGCCTCAATTGAATGTGATCAGCGCTGAAAGTGATAGCTATATCTATTAATAATCCTAATTTTCTCGTTTATTCTGACTTTCTTTATCGATTCTCCATTCGAATGCTCCACTCGTATCCGAATTGATTACTCCTTTGAATCAATTCTCGTCGATTGCGAATGCATTACCCTTCTTCACGCGACAAGAATTTCCTCCAGTCTCGTATTTGGTCCCATTTTCGTGTATATTTTTTCCCCTCCAAACTCATTATCTGACCCAGTTACTAACTTCATCACGTGTACACGGACTAATTACAAATGACTATTTGAGTATCCGAGGGACTACGTGACAGCTGTTTCCCAACGGAGCGTTAAGTGCAATACGAATGAAAAGTACCACTGGAAGCTGTGTAGCTGACGAAAGTTTGAAAATTCTCAGTGTTCAAATGTATTGGTTTAGCTGCATGTACAGCTGTAGACGTCTCAAACTTTTTGAAGTGTTTTCAAGCACTAGCTAGCAATGAAAGAGTCATTGTCTGGAGAATGTTGACGATTTCACATTTATATATTGATCTACTGACTCGTTCTTTTCCCTGTCGAGTGCTCCAGTCATTCGCATCAAGTTGTTTTCAACTTTAGCAAACATTGACCATAAAGTTCCAACAATATCCCAACTCTTCAATTAATCAGCAGACAGCAATCCTTCAATCCCTCCATTTGTCTCACAGCAACATCGAAATTTCCCGGAAAGGACCTGAAATTCCGTTACATTCATTCAATTCCAAAGACTCAGTAGACCAGAACAGTCAATTGACTGGGGATTGAGCAACAAAAAAGCGATTTATCCTCGAAATTGTAAAAAGATTGCCACTAAAACGGGAAAAGGTCTTCCCCTAAAAGTAGTGTAAAAAAAAAAATGCGACGAGGCCCTCTTCCATTTCAATTGTGGAGCTTTGGGGGAACACGTTATCGTCCCTCAGCCGGATATTTCGAAGCTCCAGGTTGACTGTACCACTGCTCGTTTTCTTATTCGAATAAAAGGCGATTCAATAATGCAACCTATTGGCAGGATCAGTCCCTGTGCGACCCTCTTCACGTTTCATTACGACTACCCTGTGGAGTTGCGTAATAGCGCAGCCCTAGGTGGTGTGAGAGACATTTGGAAGAGGACAGTCTCTCTGGTGACTCCAAGCTTTCCATTATTGATGGTACCGTGGTAAGGACAATGGAAATCCAAACCACCGTTATACCGTACCTTGTGCACACAAGCTGAATGGGTTAAGAGGCACCAGTCTGCCACGATATCTGTCGCTTACTCTCCATTTATCGAGAAACCACCAGAGTATCCACTACTTCTTCGTCAGGGCAACATGAATCACAAATACCAATTTGTGGGACATGCTATGCTTTGTCATACCGCGCTGACGAAATGATCGACGAGATGGGGCTCCAGGGGATGACTCCCCCAGGGGGTGAAGAGGGAGAGGAGCGCCTACCGGATAAAAAAACCATTAACTAAATATCCGAAAATTGACTGTAAACAAACAAGTTAGAATTTTTCGGATAAATTCTTCAGAAATAGTATTTTTCACGCCTAGAACGGAAAAAATGAATCTGACGATCGGAGTCAAGGTCGAATCCCTGTCTGTCGGGCGTTGTGAAAAATATATTATTGCTAACACGTTTATGCTAATGTAGATAATATTACAGTCAACAAGGAGGGAAGAGGAAGTGTGCGTCGGTGGAGAGGGAAGGGGATGTCTTCAGCTCCTGGTAGAACAGTGGGAAAACCTTTCTGTGATCTGTTCTTGCCGTTTACTCAGCAAACATTCGCGTACTTATTGCGAAATGTTGCTTATCTCAGGTTGAATATTGCTGGGGCTTCTCGGCGCTTCTCGGGATTGGAATAGTGGAATTAGTGGAGTTGTTGTATTAAATAATGAAAGGTATTTGGAGTATTCTCGAGCTTCTTGACAATGAGGATAACATCTTTCGTTTGGGTGTGGATGAAGGAATTGGGTAAACTCGGGGATGATTGAATTATCGACATTGATCAAGAAATTCTTGGATTTCGCGTGGATGTCAGCAGTTGTTGGCGATATTCGGTGAATGGGAGATGCGAATTGAGTTTCGAATTCGGTGGATGTGGAAGGAGATTGGATTACTGATATTTCCATCACTGAAAAGCCGCGTACGTTGATACAGATTTTAATCTTCATGACTGGTATTGGTGAGATCGAATCATACGCGTTGCGTGTGTTAAATACTTTCAAGTTCAGATTATTTTTTCTCAACATCCGTGTGACATGAATTGCTGTCAATAATAAAAGACTGAAAGCTCGGAACCATAACGGCGTCTCGAGACCGTGCAAGGAGAGACTCCAAAGCGTCAAAGTGAGTTACCGAACTCTCTGAATACCCCATACTTCTCAGACCAATCAATATCCATGAAATCAAACAAACTGGGGGTGAAAAAAATCCCACGAAAATATTCCACCCCCAACTTTTCAATCTCATCTGAAACCGAAAAAAAAAATCATCCGATCCGATTGAAGACGCGAAAAAATGAATATCTGGAAAAAGAAAATGATGAAAATGAGAAAAGGCATTTTAAGGAGGTGGTGGGGTGCGATGGTGTGTGCCAGAGGTGTTCCCATTGTCGAGGGTACCCAGAGATGGCAAAAGGTGGGAATAGCAAGGGCGAATAGAGGAAGAGAGGGAAATAATGGGAATTGTATGGCGCTGAATTTCTATTCAGACAGCTCTCCTGTATTCTGGCTTGAGTTCGGGCTCTTCCTCTTCTTCGTTTCGACGAGAGTGTCGTCGAGGTTCTGGAGGCTTGCCGTCGCTTATTGGATTGCACCGGGTACACTGGGCATTTTGCCCTCAAGCAAAGACCTCTATTACATACTTTTCACACACATAGTCTGACCTTATGTACATAAAGGTCAAAATTGGATTTCTCTTTCTTGCGACAATCTTCTGCTCCTTTATTTTGTCTCCATCAAATTCAGTGCTACCAAGTCGCCGATTTTTACAACAATTCTGATGTTCGGGTCGGAGGCTCTAGTGATTTCAGACTTTTCTAGGAGAACAATAACTCGTTTTTTAATCGATTTTGGTGATAACCAGAGCTTGGGACGCGTTAAATTGGAGAATCAATTTTTTTTTTCTCATCTACACAAGGATGAACACATGCTAATGAAGGGTGTGGGCTGCCGAGGGGTTGGGTGAGTCTGATAGCTGGAAGAATTAGAGCGCTTCAATGGCAAGTGGTGGTAGGTCGTGGTGTTGAAGCCACTCGACAATTCAACCACTCACGTGGCCAATTGAGTCTTTCCACTTACGTATCTCGGAATTCATTCGTTCTTGTGTTAATTCAACACTCGTTTATGTATTCATTTTCAATCAGCATCGGTATATTGAATTTAATCTGGTTAATTGAAAATTGGAAAATTAAAATTAAATATGAACGAGTGTTATAATTCATTTTCACTTGGAATTCAGCTGTTGAGAAGAGACAAAGTACATATTTGAATTATTTCCAGTGCATTTGATGCTGTTTCAACACGATCATCCATATTGCCGTGTCCTCATTGTGCATCAGCCTGTGCATGTTATGATACTATTTTTCTTCAGACAGCACAAGTGCGGATGGCTTTTTTTTTTATTTTATTCTCGCGTCTCTACAGCTATTCAAACTTCTAGAGGACTTGGTATTTCATGGAAAATATTACCATAGCAGTCAAAACTTTTCACGAGGTTTATTACCTTTATTTTCACGTTCAGCTGTCGTTGTTCTTATTCCATAAATCCCTCTCTACCCTGGAAAATGGGAAGGTTATTGAGTAGAATTTCAAACTACTAATTAAGTGGTTTGTATAAAATAGTCGGGCCCTACCGACGCGCTTTCCCCATAATTCAACCTAATCAGCTTAGTGTTGATTAAATTATTCAATATGAAACATTTTTTTTATAATTTTTATTTTCTATGGTTGCAGGGAAGTCTGGCCGGAGAACAACTCCTTTGGCACAGCTGATATGCCTGTTGAAGATGAGTTTCTAGCACTTCGAGAGATATTCCACGCTGATCTCGGGGGTGAGTACTAATTATTTACATTGTTTATGGACTACCTGGGTTTTGATGATGAGACTTATGATCCACTTCATTCTGGTGCATAAACAGTTAGGGCACCGTGAATGGCTCCATCGAGGGGTGAATTAAGTTGGCTATTAAAAAAGTTGAAAAGCTATTGAAATGTCTGGAGAGTAAGTAACGATCTATTGACTATCTTTTGCATCGTCAAAGCCCACCCCAGGGGCTCTCGGGAGTGGAATGAAAGTTTTGTTTGTTCTTGCTGAGGACGGATCGTTAGTACCTCTTAGTATCAGTTAACTACCGGGTTTCGTCGTCCTTCTGAGGGCTTCCAATGGCTGGGCCAAGCCGACTTGCCTTTAATACGAAATTTTTTATGTCCTCCGTAAAACCAAAGCCATACCTCAAATGATGGGTGAACAAAAGGCAACTTTTGATGGGGAGTGGTTGGGAGGTAAAAATATTAGTAGTGGTGCAGCTGTCGAAATTCTCAGATTACGAATTGCGTCGTTATTTGTCCACTACTTGAACGACCGCTGTGGCGATGGGTAATAGTTAATTGTCCATTACAGTTTACGACGATGGAATATTAGGGGTTCAGAGTCCCTTCGCAGTTCAAACTCAACTCCAAGTCACTCGAAAACTTGGGGTCAAGTCCGTTTTGAGGGACCTTCAAATGCTCCCGTAATTGATGGAAGTGTTTAGTTTTAATAGCTCGCGAAGTCTCACGATTCTCATACTAGATTCTTTTATTTACGTCAATTATATTTAACTTCATGATCATAGAAGCGATGGCATGAGTACTTGGTAGTTCGATCCTTGCATCACTAGGAGAAAAATAGGTTGAATTTTTCTTCTGAGTGGGAAATGGATTTTTCTCGACTCACTATCCCTTGAAAAAAATCATACAACGTTTTTCGTCAGCTTTTTTTCGGCGTATAGCTAAGCTATGCACATCATACTATATATATACATATAATATAATATAATATATCATTCTGGTAAAATAACGATTTTTCTAGAATGAGAAAAAAAAATATTGTATTTATCAATTGAATTTTATTACCAAAAAAAAACATAAATTATGGGCTATTTTTTGGATATATAAAATTCTTTCAATATTTCGATTTTAGATTTCAAAGAGCGCGCTATACGCCTGTGGTAGAAAAATACCCACTCAACAAATTCAAGACTAATCTCCTCGTATTTTATCTCCCCCCTTTCAACTTAATTATCAAAAATTAAATCTGCAGGTATCAGTGTGTTAATCCTTTTATCGCGATATACATTTTTTTAAATGTAAAAAGAGATTTAGGATAATGTCTGGGGCACAAGGTGAGACTAAAGAGTCCGTTCTGTATTATTTTTTTAAAAGATATGATTTCGGTGCCTCGCTATGGGGATGTAATGTAATAACCGAGGCATATATCATGACACAAAATTTAATTAAACGCAGCTAAGCTTTCTCCTCCCTTCTGTTATTCGCTCGGTGTTTATAATTTATGTATGAATAACTGCCCTGTTTATCGTTCGTGTTGCGTATCAACTCTGCCAACTGCAGTCTAACCCTCGCTGTACAACAGTGTTCCATTTTCGTTCAAGTTTGCTGTTGTTCTTAATGAAACTTTCTTGACTTATTTTCAAAACTGCAGTCTTTCAGCCTTCATCCCCAGCTCTTCTAATAATTACCAAAATTCAAACTTAAAAATTCACTCCAAGCACTTGAAAGCTGAGATTAATTGAAATGCTCAATTATCATGTTAATCAATTCAACGAATTGCAATTAATTCCAAAAGACCGTTAAAAATGAAAAAATGAATTATTTATTCATTTTTAAAATAAAAGTATAATATATTTATACTTTAATAAATTTATTTGGCATAATGAAATCGTGCAGTGGAAAATGCCATAAAAACGGCTGTTATCATTTGTCATTCTTAATCCATTGGTCTGGATATAAAAAAAGTCAGTGATACGAGGGTGACGATAAATTCAGAGAGTCTTTTGTACCCAACGACGACAGTTTTCCTCAAGTGCCCCAGGTGCGTGTACCGACATATTCCTCGGGTATTCGGAATTCATTTTGCCAATTCCCTACGAAATGCTCAATGTACAATGCGATGAGAGAGAGAGAGAGAGAAATAGAGGGACAAATGAAAAAGGGGGGAGGGGCAATTTAATTAAAGGGGGTAACACATAATGAAATATACGCGTAGCATGTCTGGACGAATTATGCGAAAGAATTCAACTTGTTGCATTTTAAAACGTGACTATTTTACCACTAGTCAGTACTGACCGATGTATTGATTGACGTTAATTGCGCGATCCGTCGCGACGCCGTCACCCCCCAACTGTCTGCCATTGCCAGTTCATCTGGATGTCATGTCACGTATCTGCCACCACGTATTCAACTGCCAAATGATACAGGGGGGAATGGCCAATGGTCACTATGATTTTCCGACAACCTGGGGTGTAACAATCAGCTCGTTGCAAGACCTTAATTGAGAGTTAACATGAAGAATCCATATGTGAGAATTGTTCCGGTTGACTTTCCATTAATTGCACGATGATACGACAATTTCGCTCGTTTATTTAAAATTTTTGAACATTTACTCTTTATTTTTTTTCATTGTTTCAAATTTTTGTAATCGGTGAATCCTGGGAATTTTCGCATTTTTTTTCTCAAAATATGATAATTATTATATTATTATGAATTGGTATAATATAATAATTACAGTAATAATAATAATTTTTTTTTTTATATTTAATTTGCGGTAGATTGAATATTTATGAAATTAACTGATTCGTTAGTAAAGAATTCTCCGGATTTTGTCAGTACACAAGTTCCGACAAAATAAAGAGAATATCTGAATTGCAATCTCAATTTCTAACGTCTTTTATTCCTCGGCGATAATGTGAATTGATCAACGCGAGTTGTCCCCAGGTGGAAAAATTTCTTGAATCTTTTTTATCGCACTGCGCCGCAAGTTTTATTAGATATCCCGGTGTGCGTTATTATATTATCCTCACCTCGAGGAAGGAATAAGTGGAGAACCCTGTGACAACGAGAGGATGAAATTACAGGGGAGCGGTGTAAAAATGAAATTAACATTTAACGATGCTAGACAGGGTGAGTGGATGGGTGGGTGAAAAGAAATGGCCTGAAGTTTTTGACGTCGGTGGGTGGTGGGTGGTTGGGAGATTGTCAAGTGAGTAAATGTCAGGAAACCAGTGGGTTGTTACTCGTCTGATCGTAACTGTTCGCACTTGGCCACTTTTAACGGCCTCGGCTGGGAAATAGCGAGGGAAAAGTGAGGGAAATTTACGGGAAAAGGTGTGCAGGCGGGGGTGTGAATGTTAAAGAGGGTTGGAGGTAGCACGATCGTCAGCACTTGCATATCAGGCGCTTTTCTAGGAGATTGGCGAAGCGGTTAAGGTACCTGAAACAGCGGTTAACTGTTCATGAATTCTACAGGTTATTCTGCAAAAATGACCATTTTTATTTTTAATAGCAACAAATTGATGTACACTGGAAAATTTTCGTTATTATTCCGACCGCCGGTTCATATAAAATCTAGAACATCTGCGGTTCGACCGGTTGCCCGCACGAAAGTAATATATACGCGAAATATATATACTAATAATTATATACGCACATATATTCCAGCAATAATGCAACGTTACATATAATTATTAGTGTATATAATTGTCCGATTATGCAAATGATAAATTTAAATAAATTGCAATTTTTGGGGTTAATAATAATAATAATTTTTCGGATTTTCGCAAAAAGCAGTGAGTCACGTCCATTACTCATTCTGCAGGAAAAAAGAGAAATTTCGGATGTGACGAATTCCACAGTGAAGTGAAGAAGATAAAAAAAATATGATTGAGGAATTTGTTTTGTTCGCGAAGTATTTCCAATAGCTCTCAGTTCCTCCGGCACGTACGATATCCTTGAAAACGTCGACGGATTTTCGGTTGAATTCTTCATATGTGGTGGGGTGTTTGGAGTTTTCCCGGGTGGTTCTAGTGGTGAAATTCACATTTACTCGAGGCAACACTGGCAAACACACCGTTTGAACGGATCTCAGAGCCATACGTTTGCATTCCACCCACATCCTTTTCTTTTTATCTCAATTTTATCGTCTTCTTTTGGGTTCTCTCGATTTTTTTGGGGGAGAATTTCCCTTTTTTTTTTACCGTTTTCTCCCTCGGGCTGGCACAAACCAACTGCCCTCGTACCACCGTACCTTCCATTTACCTATATTGAGACTCAATGGCACGTTTCATTTCTCTCGGTTTTTTTATTTGCTTTCTCCCCTCTCGATCTTTACCTTTTGATCAAACTGCGATTTCGTGGCGAGTCTTATTCACGCGCCAATTTTTTTTTCGACATTCGATGCGACATATGGAGAACAACGAAATGTCTCAATTTTCCAAGTAACTGGTATTAAATAATTAAATATAATTATATTGTAGAAATTTATTCTCTTGAATCTTGAATACGCAATTTGAACAAGTATTTATCAATTAATTTAATATTAATCTAATTGAATTTTTTAATTCAATAATTAATTCAAGTCATTGTTTCATTGTTAATCTCAGACTGAATTTTTTCAAAGAAATATACGTCCGTTGTTGCGCCGACATTAACGCAGAAAAATTCAATAATTTCGCTCTCATCTCGTCATTAATCGTCGAGGTCTGCCCTTTTTTTTCTTCCACCGCGGATTTTTCACTCGCCCCCATTGAAAGACACGCGAGGGGTGAATGAAGAAAGAGCCTGGGGTTTTTAAATTGCAATAATAAAAAGTAAATGAGAGTTTCTGAGTTTATCCGCATTTCGCTCAAACTCGAGGTGAAATGTACATCATACCCACTCTTTCCCCGGCAATTTTTAATTGTCGAAAAATACAAAAGCAATACAATAATTTTATGTGTTGTTTTCCAGGAATAATACCCTTTTCCAGAATAAAAATAGAAAAATAGAATTCCTGCGC